TATATAAGGGAGAATATAACATCGGCGTAAAATTAGAATTAGGACAAAGCAAAAGAGAAAAAGGATTATTAAAGAATCCTCATTTATTTTCACGCTGTGTTTATGTAGAATGTATTATGCAAATATCGTGGTGTGACGTAATCGAAATTTGGGATTTCATTTTATGTAAAACTGCAGGTCTACCAAATATATGAATATTTGAATTGAATGCGTCGGCAATCATTCATAAAGACCAGATGAAAGCACCACGATGACGTATTTTCTGAAAAAAAAAGGATTTGCGCGTATTTATTGCCCGCGAAAAGCTGTTCTCATCAATATTCAATTGCGCAACAAATATCGGGTTTCGTTACTGGGTTTGTTATTGTAGCTTGTCAAACGTACGTGGTTTTAATACGAAGTATACAAGTTAATGTTACGAACAAAGGATACGCACCTCGCGCATAAATTGCACAATGCGCACTTTATAACGCACTCAATTATGAATTCAAATGCGCATAATTCATCAAATGAAACACAATGCACATGCATGTTCGAAAGAAAAATGATTCATTCAATCTCTATATTGCATATTCCTGTAATCAAACTTGAAAACAAAATTTAATTAAAAAATGTTTCTTTGATATTTCTTTTCGTTCTTTAAAATTGTTATGATCAGTCATAAAAATTTAAATATTATTTTGAATCGTTAATTTTTCACAAATCATTAGATGTTTTAAGCATATCTTTGACAAAAGACGATTCTAAATAAATAAATAACTAAATAAATAAATAACAAATAATTTATCATTAAATTGATATAATAACGAAATATCGCAAACTGCATTATTCCCATTTTAGAAAAACATTGTAACCACATACTGTTAAATGTTAACGCCTTTTCGGACAATTTTTTTGTACGAAAAATTACAAACAACTATTCGCATAAATCGTTTAGCGCTACGATAATTAAAACTCATTGAGCGCGAGTGTCGCAAAAATGGAATTGGTGATATTTTTGCGGTTCTGCATCGGTCACCAGCATACTCGTTATAATTCATAAATCATAATTCCACGTATGCTTAAACGACGCATTTACACCGACATCGCAGCCGCTGCTCTTGCGGATAATAAAATTCTTCGCTATGCTACCTTCCCTCCGTAAAGCAAAGTATGCAAAGAGCAAACTGCTGTTGCGTCTAGACGAACAGCGCCATTCTTCTAGGTATGAGACGAGAGCATAAAACGACCGAGTTTATATGACGTGACATCAAAATTCACATTTTCGTGAAAGCGCGAATATCCAACATCCGCAACATCTTTTCACGATGAGTTGTTTGCGCGTCGCGGTGCATTCTTAACATTATAAAGACACGTGATCGTGTCGATGAACATTGTCGTCACGGAAAGCCTAGAAGAATTGATACAACAATTCTTATTCAATTATATGTATATTATAAAAATGCTTCTAACAAAAAGTAATTTTATTTTTTATTTTACATTGACAAAATGTATGCTTTCTTTTCACAAAATATGTGCTTTCTTTTTTCACCTAAAAGAAGCTATTATGTATAAAATCCGTATAATCTACTGTTATTATAATATTGGAAATTTATAATGTCCTGAAAAAGTAATTACTTTAATAACTTAAGTTTAAATTATTTATTCTGGAGTTAGAGTTTACAAAAAGGTAATTAGTAAAGTTAATATTTGAAATAATAACAGTTATATTCATACAACAGTTTTATTCATTTTTATAATGTATCTATTTGTATTTATTGATAATTTATTTCTATATAATTTATTACTCAAAACAGAGAAGATGTTTATTCTAATCATATAAAGCTTTACTACTTTTATGGAAATAATCCGCGTTTCTATAATGAACTTAGTACATTTTTAGTTAATCTAATTAAAACATGACTGTTGTAAATCATCATTTTTTTTTAAGATAAAAAATTTTGTGTTTGTCACGTTTTTAAGTACATTTGTATAATGAATACAAATATGAATAAAAAAGCCTTCTTTAAAAAAGTACAAATCATTAAAGCAATGATGAATATTTCAACATACATATTTTTAGATGTGATTTATTCTAAATTAATTTTAAATATAGTTATCGCGTATATATTGATAACTCGAATAGAATGCTTTCAAGTTATTGCAATTCTCACGTAACAAGGTGACGTAACTTACTCCTCTTTTTTTCTTTTCATAAGAAGATTCACCACCGATAATTCTTTTCGTTCCTTCACTCGCGCCTCGATAATAAGAAGAAAATAATCGTCTCTCTTTTTATAAAAATACATAGATGTTTGGCAGAAAATCAAATTTCTGTCATAGCTTATTTTAAAGGAATATCCGTTTGGTTTACCTCATATATTTATTATAATTTTCTCATAAAAATGATCAAATATCTAAAAATTTGTAAAAAGTCTTACAATATAGCAAGATACAAATTTTTATAAT